AGACAACAACTGATTAACAAGTTCATGAAGCTCTTGACTTGGGACAGGAACATAACAAATGTGGCGGTGTTAAACATGTTTGTGAGGGCTCATTTGGAAAGGGATTGATTGTTCAGGATGGTTCTAAGCACAACACAACTAACAGAAACACAAACGAGACAACATGTTGATTCAAGAGTGACCTCACTTATTAAAGAACCAATTAATCTAAAGGAGAAAAGCATGAACTTGCGCAATTCCAAAATATCAGAATCAAAAGTTTGTAGTACCATAGATGGCCAAAACATTTTCGCCGTTTAATTATGGAAAATTTGTTATTTAAGCAAAATGTAAGGGGCTCACTTGCTCGTAATAGCAATACTTACCGTCTGACGATAAATTCTACTGTCGAAACGTAAATAAATATTGTCAACCAAGATTTTAGAGATGAATAAAGCATATAAATTAACAAAAACATACAAAGAAAATAATTCATTACAGAAAATCGCTTCAGATGCACAACATGTATAAACTTTTTTTTCCATTTACTAACACTCTGACGGTGGACTGTAGTCCCCATGGGTATAGTCAAATCGGTTGTTAGTGCTTCGGTACTGACATAATTTATAACATACATTTCTAAAATTCCATGTTGATAAATTATCTAGAAACTAAGGTTTCAATTCCCTCATGCAAATTCTTTACATTAATTTGGATATTTTTTATGTCCTATTTGGTCATAAAGCTACTAACGTTTCTATGACATTTTACATCATTGGCTTTCAGATGTGTAGGTATGAGAGTTCCTCATGAAGGAAACCAAGAAAAGTGGTTCGAACGCACGTTATTTACAAAGTGTTATCATGTTTATTTCCACTATTGTGTATGCTCTATTTCAAAATTTTAAAAGTACTTTATCAAGTCAGGAAACAAGTTTAAAGGATAAAACAGTAAGTTGTAGAACAGTTAAATGTTACGAGGAAAATTCAAGTTAAAATGTGGTAATTTATTGATTGTCTGATATCTGCAGTATAGTGTTTAGGTCATACCACTCCTGCACCTCGATGTTCGCTGCTTTGTCGTCTGATATTCACATAAAGCATGTTCCGATAAATTGAAGTCTAATTCTAATCTTGGATCTGGAGTATGTATTGAAAATTACAAAAGGAACCTTGTAAATATCATATGCAAATATCTGCAATATTCATACGTTTATTATTTTAAAACAAGTGATTTTATATCGGATTTCTCCAGTTACACCATTTGTTGCATTTGGATAAAAAAAAGCATGTATATTGCACTTTATTATCAATGGTGTCCGATAGTTTGATCCTTTCTTCCAGAAAAAGTATAACATCTCGGTCTTGAAGGATGTTAAGGTATCCTGTATACCAGCTTTTTATGGCCATGTTTAATTAATTTTTATTTAATTTTTAATGATGTATAAATTAAAAAGAACTTAATCATGGCGATCTGCAGTAATATCTTTTTTTAAATAGATACATTTTAGTTTTAGGTGTCTTTTAAAGGATTGGAGGCTTTCGACAGAGTATCATCAATTTATTTGTCATGAGAGATTTTTAATTTATCCACTTATTCAGTATATATTTTGATTAATATCTTAATTCGAATCACATTTGACAAATTTTCCGTTTTACTGTTTTCGTCGATATTTGATAACAATCTTGTAGTTTATTCCTAAAATACTTATTTCTGGTTACAAAATTTTGTCAATTTCCTAATACAATCATATTTGTGATGTTTTGAATAGAGTTACATTTGACAAAATTTCCGGTTTCTTGTTCCCTGAGATCTGATGATAAAAATCTTAGTTTTTGTAAAATTATATTTGTTTCTTGTCATTAAAATTTATCTATTTCCTTATACAATCATGGTTGTGATGTTTCAAATCAAGTTACATTAGACAAATGTTCCGGTTTCAAGTTTTCAGGGATTTGATGATACAAATCTTAGTTTTTGTGTCAAAATACTAGTAACAGGTCATGATATTTAAAATTTGTTATATTCCTTAAACAATCATATTTTTTGTGCTGTTTCAAAAAGAGTAAAATTGAAATTAAAGATGTAGCTCTATTAAAATGACATAAATACCAAAATTTTTGTTTTCATTGATTTTCTAAAATTAAACCCCACATCGTCAATTTCCACCTATTTAATCTTAATCCACCTAGTATATAAAAAGTAACCACACTATAAACATTAAAATACAGATCCTGTGTCCAAGCTTTGCTTACAAGGATCTGAACACGCTCCGTTTTACTTTCTGTTTTAAAGAAATTTCGGGATCTTCTGGTTTTTTCGGGTTAATATACAAAAAATTGAAGGATGAAATTACATTCGCTGATCGCATATCTTGGACATAGGGTCTGTATTTTAATCAGATTGTAAACACAATAACACTTTTAAAGTAGTTTCTGTTGCAATTTTCATTGAGCTTTAAACATTTTCTGCATAGATTGACTGCACTATTTCGCCACTTAAAATTTGCTATGACAGCAATATGAGAAGTTACTGCTAATATGAAGATTACGAGTAATCTCATCAATCGTTAGTAGATTATTTTCATACTGGATATATTATTTTTAAATGATAACTACTGAAATAAATAAACATTGAAAATTTTGCTCAATCTGGCTTAAAAAAGTCTGAACTTCCGTTTAGGATCAACTGGTGTTCGTAATAGTTTATTTTCTCATGGTTGTGGCCTGTTACATCTTTCGCGCATGAAGTAATTAACGAAGTATGCTATGAATAAAAAAGTATAACAAAAATACCGAACTCCAAGGTAAATTCAGAAAGAGGAAGTCCATAAAAACTGACAAAATTAAACGTTAGACTTTATCAACCAACAGAACGAATAAAAAAAAAACTGTCACATTGCTGACTTGGAACAGGCATTTTACGAAAATAACTTTTTCTTAGGTCAAAGTGACTTTAAGTGTCACAACGGACTATTTTTCCATGATAACGGAGGATTTTGATTTTTTCAATACTATACAAAACACTCACATGTTTCACCTAAAGGTGGTTTTTTGGGTTAAATATGAATCCATTCTGAAGCATTAAAAAGCTCGAAAAAGTCTGATATTAATGTTTGACACCAGAGGCAAACTTATAACGTCTTACTGTTTATGTGCAATTGACAATTACAGTGTTTTGCAGAAGGTTATTTTTAAAACATAAATTATTTTGTCTTAAGAGAACAAGTGTGGACACAGATCAGTGTGGATAGTAATTGTTAAATTAGTGTTAGTATGTCTGATAGTGTTTTCTCTAGATAATTCATGCATGGTCGTGCCCCATCATATGTTTTCTAGAATTTTTCTAGGGTTCTATGTCAGAGCTATCTTGATTTAAGATAAGAAGCAAAACCTCAGAATTAACCAAGTGTCATTTATTCATTCTCTGGTTATAATGTTCACGACTGTTTAAGAGAGTTAGCTATTTGTTTGGAATTCCAACATGATGATACCTTAATTTACTTTAAAAAGTGGTAGGCACGAAAAACTAAAAAATAGTTTTGATGTATTCTGAGAATCTGTATGCAAGTATTTAAAGTATGGTTTTATTTTGTTCTACCGTGGTGGTGATTTCTAATTTCGGTTTGGCAACAAAAACTGTAAATTACTATAGGATCATCTCTGTATCATAAGTGTAGGAATTCATGAGATTGTTTTTGACAAGGAACACAAATTTAGATTTCCAAAATAATCATAAAAGTTGAATAATGCAAGTTGTTTCAAAAACAACTCGGATCTTATCGCTGGTAGCAGTTTTTGGTGTATTGAATGCTTTTTTTATTTGACTTTCTTGAAGACAACGTTCAAATGGACATACAATACTTTAATATAACAGAAATAATGTAATGCTCCAACAATACATACCTTGTGCTGACTGTTATAATGGTAAATATATCCAAAATGTTTCAACCATCTTACCTAACAATAAAGGGTCTTTTCAAATCATAATTCACACGAAATGCATATGGCTGACAATGATCTCAGCTCAATGAAAATACTATATAAAATTGAGAATGGAAACGGGGAATGTGTCAAAGTTACAACAACCCTACCAAAGAGCAGAAAACAGCCCAAGGCCACCAATGGGTCTTCAACACAGCGAGAAAATCCCGCACCCGAAGGTGGGCTCCAGCTGTACCCTAAACAAAAATGTGTATAGTTCAGTGAAAATGACACTTAACTCCGAAACATATAAATGAACCAAAATTAAAAAAAAACATACAAGACTAACAAAGGCCAGAGGCTCCTGACTTGGGACAGGCGAAAAAGTGCGGCGGGGTTAAACATGTTTTGTGAGATCTCAACCCTCTCACTATACCTCTAGCCAATATAGAATAAACAAACACGCAAACAAATACGCACAGCAAAACTCAGTTTAGAAAAAGTCCGAGTCCGATGTTAGAATAGGTAACAGAAGAAACTAAGCAAAATGACAATGATACATAAATTAACAAAGGACTACTAGCAGTTACTGACGAGCCAGCTCCAGACCTCAATTAAACTGATTGAAAGATTATGTCTTCATCATATGAAAATCAAGCACAATTCCTCCCGTTATAAAATATACGAGAAGAACATAACCCGTATCATGCCAACAACTGGTTTCAGAATAAATGTGTTTATTTCCGATGCAAAGACCCCTCGAGTGAATCAATATTAATTCCAAAAATGCCATCTTTAATGACCTGACAACAGTATCGTAACTATATCCCTTCGAAATAAGTCTGTTTAGAGGTTTGATTAGGATTTGAGGTGAATGGCGACATTTTTGTGCTTTGTATAGATTATTACCATAAGCGAGTGGATGTGAAATACCTGAACGTATAAGATGTCTGCACGTTGATTTATATTCACGAATGATGTCTTTGTACCGATGATAAAATTTAGTAAATGTTTTGACAAGTTTGTGATATCAGTTGTCAGTAATACAGAGATTTCTTTCGTTAAAATCAACAGTTCAGCTGGATAAATCTCTTAAGGTAGAGACGGACGGGTATCACATGACCTATTATAGCACGTGCATTTTGCGTAATTAAAATCGGTTCCGATTCTTTTTTTACGCAATCGGTAGACAAGGTAAACAAAGAAAATGGCAGACGACTGCGACCGCCTTCGTGTTCGCGGTCGGTTTATTAAGAACGACAGATTCAAAAAATCTAAAAGGATGAACACTTTGAACGAGAGAGATAAATTTACTCAATGGGGAGACCATGATTACGGTACGAGGGGAGAATTGCCATTAGAACCGACAATGATTCAAGAGACACCGGTATCAGTTGAGAACATAGCCTCCAATGTTACTGTTTCAACTGATATCGGACACAGTAAAAACATCTTATGGAATGAAGGCAGGAGGGTTGTTGAGTTGGAAGTGCTAGCGGAACAACTCTTCTGCAACAGATGCAACACCCCACTCTATCTGAAGGATATAGTAGGTGAAATGAGGTAAACAATAATTTTTAGCACCCCTTCATTTTTTACAAACTATCAAAACCATGTGAAGTTTGTAGGAATATGATTGCAATTCACTTTCAAATATGTCCTGCTGGCAGATATCTTTACAATTTTTCTCTCAATCCAAACCCTTGTAGGAAATCAATACTAACAGGACAGCGATTGTTTCTTTGCCTATTATACATTTTAGCTCACTATGCGATATGGGTTTTACTCATTTTTGTAGGCCCTGACTCACCGATAGTTGTTAAATTCTGTGTCATTTGGTCTCTTGTTGAGATTTGTTTAGAGAGTTGTCTCATTGGAAATCATACCACATCTTATATAAATTGAATTTTGTTTCTTTTCCCTTCCCCTTATATAATGCAACCTACACAAGAAAAATGTCCCTACTCAAAAAGTTTTGTTTTGACATTCTAAATAGAAATACAAAATGTAGTTGTTTTCTTTCAAGTCTCTTGATAAATAATAAAAAATATAAATTTCATGACATTTTTGTAAATTTCCTTTCATAAATGTTAAATAAGATATTTTTCCTACATGAACCTTCAGGTACATTTTTGTACATGTACCTACCCAGTACTTACCCACTATATAAAATTTGGGTCTAAAAAGGGGAAACAACATATATTTTAAGTTTGGCCTCACGATAAAACAAAATGATATCAGCTACCTTTCAGTATATTAAATTTTTATCTTACAGGTACGGCTTAGGAAGTCTTTTGGAGGTGGTATGTCAGATATGCTCTGGTATGAAACTGGTATCTACAGGCAAGCGGAATGAAAAAGGAGCATTTGATATCAACTCAAAAGTTGCTCTTGGTATGTGCAAAAAGCTTTATTGTAAGAAAAAAAGTAGGAAAGTTAGATTATTAATTCTATTTTATTTATCATTCTGACACGTTTAATGTTTTTTAAAGTAGTTTCTTTCAAACTCATGACATGGGTATGGGGTGTTCAAATTTGTGTACTATGTAGTGTAATTTATTATTTACAGTGTTGCTTACACCAAGGATTGCTAATATGTCTATGGCTTACAGCGTAGCTATTACAAATCACTGCAGGGGATGTATATATTGTTCTTTCTAATTTAAAACTTGCCTAAGTAAACTAAGAAAAAGATTTTCTCATTTCCTGGGATGAAAATTTTTATTCTATTTTTTTATAACACTATTTTGAATTAAGAGGGTTTTAAGCATCATTCAGAAAAGAAAAAAAAATCTTATCTTTATACCCACACTAGTTGGTAAACAGCAAAGCAATAATTTATTAAAGATGGCCTTAAATTGATTTAAGTAAGCTAGGAAGTTATAATTTCTATGTATTTCTGCTTGAATATTAAAAATGTCATAATGAACTTTGACATTGAATTTTGTGAGCTCACTAGGTTGTAGCTTTATCAATTGTCACCTGAGCTCTATTATTGAATTGTAATTAATTTAATTGATAAAGATATATATATATGCAGTATGTAGGTGGTAAAAATTGATAATCATAGTAAATCATAATGATTTCAGCAATGATGCACTCTGGAATGGGTCCTGATCATGTTGTGAATTTTCTCAGCACATGTAACATACCCCCACCTGATCCCAAGACACTGAAAAAGAAGGAGAAATGTATAGCATTGTCACTTATGGATGAGGCATCTGATTCCTGTAAAACTGCTAGTGCAGAAGAAAAAGCTATTTCCCCAAGTGATGAATTAGAATGCAGTTTTGATGCTGGCTGGCAAACAAGAGGCTCTGGTTGGCAATATAACAGTAACACAGGTATCATGTCAACATCAGTAATATTATAGAAATAAAAGTGGAGGAGTTTATTGATGTGTGCTCACTAGGTTACCGAATTGCATATAAACTGAATCAAGTCAGAAGGACTTTATGTAAAAATTAAAATATGCATGTTAGTCTTTAATTCTGTCAGGTTTACACATCAATAAACTCGTCCAAAATAACTATTTAGGTTCCAACTATGAAAATCATAGGTACATTTAGGTTTACCGTTGTCCCTCTGTATATCTGTCCTTTCCTCCCAATTTTAGTTAAGTTTTTATGTTTAAGTCCATATCTCACCTACTGTACATGGTAGACCAATGATATTTGATCAATAGATATACCATATGAATAACTAGTAGTACTGCACATTGGGGTTCACTAAAAAGTAGGCCATTCTACCCTACAGTAATGTGTTGAGTATAAAAAAGAAGATGTGGTATGATTCATAATGATTGCCAATGAGACAACTCTCCACAAGAGACCAAATGACACAGAAATTAACAACTATAGGTCACTGTACAGCCTTCAACAATGAGTAAAGTCCATACCGCATTGTCAGCTATTTAGGGCCCAGAAAGGACAATGTAAAACAATTCAAACAAGAAAACTAATGGCCTAATTAAAGGTCCATTTCTCAGCTACTATTTTATTTCAATGAAATTTGGTAATAAGGTAGATTGTGATATTGGAACAGATACCTGACATTGGAATTTTTAGGTTTATTTGTAACTTATGGCTAAACAGCAAAAAAAGCTAAGCAAAACTCACATTTACATCTGTGTCATATAGATAAACCTTTTAAGTTATATTTGCAAACATTATCCTTTTTTTTCTATTTTGAATATAATTATCAGAAACTGTTTTTGACCTTTTCTTATGTGACTAAAAAGGACACGGACTTCGTATATTTCAGGACATTCCAGTCTAGTTGGTGTAAAGACAGGGAAAATTCTAGACTATGATATAAGAACTAAACTTTGCAGTATATGCCAGCATCATTTGGGAAGAAAGGAAACAATTCCAAATCATCAATGCAACAGTAATTGGCAAGGTACACAAACAACAATTTTTTTAAAACGTTTTTTTCCAGCAAAATCCAAAGATTTAAGGTAAATCCAGCCTTCTGTGAAAACGTCACCATATCCACAATCTGTTTTAGTTTATGCAAATTAGTTATCCAGACAACAATAAGAATATCACAAGTTGTAACTATAGCTAGCACATACATTTGTAACAAATAATTTTTTATAGCAATCTTTCCGAATGGAGGTTGCCCTATAGTGACCAGTCTGTCCGTCTGTAACAAGTTGTGTCCCCTCTATATCTAGAAAATCATTATGATTTCATACTTGGGTTTCAGTTGACAACCCATGTCCTATGGTGAAGATTGTGTCTGCTCTATATCTTCAGAACCATTATGATTTCAAAGTTTATACTTAACATGTATATTAACCAACACCAGAGGGTGTGTCTTTATGTATGTACAACTTCCCAGGTCAAAGGTCAAGGTAAAAAAACTTTGGTTCTGTTGACAATCACATGACCATAATGGTAAAGATACAAACAAATTTCCACACATTATTCACAGCGAGGCCCACAGAGATGGCTTCCATCTCAATGAGTCTAGTTTTAATTATTACAGTTACAAAAACATAACTTTTTGTTTTGGTCCTTGAAAAAAGGACAATGATATTTGGTTTATGATTGCATAGTCATAACACCGCCTTATGGCTATGCACTTACAAATCAAGTATGTGTGTTGTGTACCACCATGACCTTTAAATTACCTTATTCTTAGACTACAATGTCAAATAATTTAGTTTTTGTCGAGCCTGCGACTTTTGTCGCAGAAAGCTCGACATAGGGATAGTGATCCGGCGGCGGTGGCGTTAGCTAACTTCTTAAAAGCTTTATATTTTAGAAGGTGGAAGGTCTGGATGCTTCATACTTTGTATATGGATGCCTTATGTTACGAAGTTTCCGTCAGTCACATGTCCAATGTCCTTGACCTCATTTTCATGGTTGACTACTTGAAAAAAAAGTTAAGATTTTTTGTAATGTTAGATTCTCTCTTATTATAAGTAATAGGATAACTATATTTGGTATGTGCGTACCTTGCAAGATCCTCATGCCCGTCAGCCAGTTTTCACTTGACCTCGACCTCATTTCATGGATCAGTAAACAAGGTTAAGTTTTGGTGGTCAAGTCCATAGCTCAGATACTATAAGCAATAGGTCTAGTATATTCGGTGTATGGAAGGACTGTAAGGTGTACATGTCCAACTGGCAGGTGTCATCTGACCTTGACCTCATTTTCATGGTTCAGTGGTTATACTTAAATTTTTGTGTTTTGGTCTGTTTTTCTTATACTGTATGCCATAGGTCTACTATATTTGGTGTATGGAATGATTGTAAGGTGTACATGTCTAGCGGGCAGGTGTCATCTGACCTTGACCTCATTTTCATGGTTCAGTGGTCAAAGTTATGTTTTTGAGTTTTGGTCTTTTTATCTAATACTATATGCAATAGTTCAACTACATTTGGTATGTGCGTACCTTGCAAGGTCCTCATGCCCGTCAGACAGTTTTCACTTGACCTCGACCTCATTTCATGGATCAATGAACAAGGTTAAGTTTTGGTGGTCAAGTCCATATCTCAGATACTACAGTACACACAGAGAGTATGTAATCTCATACTCCCTACACTGTGTAAAAACTTGGTGTCACACCAAGAAACTCCAGCAACTCTCTCCAAATCTTGGGAGGAAATTGGGAGAAACTTGGAGTAATTCCTCCCTAAAACTCCTTAATTGTTTATTACCTTGGTGTGGTTTCTCCCAACAACATGATTTTTATTGCTATGATTACCTTTGAAGTGTGCCAGTAGTTGATGACTACAATAAACATTTCTTGTGTTTCCTGTCATTAAATGACAGTCACAAAAATGATGAAAAGTGTGAGATTTGTTAAATTTAATCAGAGACATATTATAATCTGATTTTATTAAAGAATCCTGTACAACTTTATTTAGTAAAATTATATTCAGCATTTGTTCTGACAGTGTTGGTTTTTCATACCTAAGAAACATACAAAAACAAACAAAACATCACCTGTAAGTGGAGTATTATTAATAGAAAATAAAGACATATATTTTAATTGAATTTATTCAATCGTTTTTTCTAAATTTAAATGATAAGAAATAAAGGAAGATTATATAAATATTATATACATGTATATATGTAATTTATCTACATTATTTTATTTTATTCATTATTTTTTTTTGTATCATTACTATTATTTTTTAAACCATGTATATACTAATATCTATATGTTTAAACTGACTATAAATACAACTTATTGTAAATATCAAGTTGCCATTCTTGATTATGAGATTTTGAAAGAATGTAAATAATTTTCCAATCTAAAAATACATATTTGTATAAAAATTTTAAAAATCATTTCGTTAACCTTTTTTTAGTGCTTTCAGAAATAAAACTAAATAGGAAATGATTGAAATAGGAAGAAGTGAGAGAATAGTTGACCTGTAATTATGTCACTGTCAGACCATGCAGTCATGCTTTGTTGATTTTTATTACTCTTACCTACAATCAACAGGTCATAAAACCCTACCAGATGGGAGTAATTACTTGGTGTTTTTTGGGAGAGAAATCTGTGTTTCACAATATGACACTGTGTTACACCAGAATCAGTGTTGGGAGTATGAGATTACATCCTCTCTGTGTGTACTGTATAAGCAATAGGTCTAGTATATTCGGTGTATGGAAGGACTGTAAGGTGTACATGTCCAACTGGCAGGTGTCATCTGACCTTGACCTCATTTTCATGGTTCAGTGGTTTTAGTTAAGTTTTTGTGTTTTGGTCTGTTTTTCCTATACTGTATGCCATAGGTCTACTATATTTGGTGTATGGAATGATTGTAAGGTGTACATGTCTAGCGGGCAGGTGTCATCTGACCTTGACCTCATTTTCATGGTCAGTGGTCAAAGTTAAGTTTTTTGAGTTTTGGTCTTTTTTTCTAATACTATATGCAATAGTTCAACTATATTTGGTGTATGGAAATATTTTATGATCTATTTGGCAGTCACGCAGGTTTTATTTGACCTTGACCTCATTTTCAAGGTTCATTGCTCAGTGTTAAGTTTTTGTGTTTTGGTCTGTTTTTCTTAAACTATAAGCAATAGGTCAACTATATTTGTTGTATGGAAGAACTGTTAGCTGTACATGCCTGCCTAGCATGGTTCATCTGACCTTGACCTCATTTTCATGGTTCATTGGTCAATGTTTAGTTTACTTGGTTAATGTTAAGTTTATGTGACAGTTGTAATAAAGCTTTATATTTAGGACTATCAACATAATATCAATGATTAGTAAAGAAGGCGAGACATTTCAGTTTGTCCACTCTTGTGTTAGTTATAAGAAGGGAGATGAAATATGTTTCAGTCATCCAAAACAGTTCTCACGTAATTAATTGTATTAATTACAATGTCCTTTTTTGTTACAGGGTCAAGTAAAGGCATGGAGCCTGACATGGCTTTATCCATGGTTACAAGGATGGACGACAGAGGGTGCACAGTTGGCATTATTCACGCAGATAATGACTCTACAACAACATCAAGGCTGAAGCAAAAATTTGAAAAAATTAAAAAAAGAGACGACAAGAACCATGTCAAGAAAAATCTGTCGAAACAACTGTATGCAGCAGCAAATAAGTACAGAGAGCTGAAGGGGAAAGGAGTTATTCCTTACATACTTAGATGCTATATGTATGCTATAAGTTCAAAACAGTCAAAGGAGGATGAACTTTGTGAAAGATTAGACAGTATAGTTCCACACCTCTTTGGAGACCATTCAGGCTGTTCTGGGGATTGGTGCACATATTCCAAGCAACCATCAACATACAGGTTTGAATTTTTTTAAATTTGAAGGATGTTATACATATATATGAACGTTTTTTTTATATTTTTATTATGAGTGATATATGCCAGAACAAAAGTTAAGTTTGGGAGCTGTTATTGCTATTTTAAATGCTGACAACCAGTTTTGTCATATAAATGCAGAAAAAAAACAATATACAATAAAACAAGTACATCCTCTCATTCTATAAAACAAACAAAAACAAAAGGTTTTTCTCCAGGTAAATACAATTATAGGATCATTAGTACCAAAATAATTTACAGACAATAAAAAGACTTGTAATGGTTAATTGAAGAACATTTTTTCCTGGAATTGAACAATAATTGTGTTGTATTTGAATACTTGCCAATGGACTATTCCATCTGTGCTGTTACTATCACCAAATGAGTTTTCGGGTGACTAAAAAATGTAAGATAAAACCATCAGCAAATATTCAAATACAACACAGTTATTGTTATGCACAAGTCTTATTTTCTCAATAAATTTTTATGCCCCATTTATGGGCATTATGTTTTCTGGTCTGTCTGTGCGTCCGTTCGTCCATATGTCGGTTCGTTCGTCCGTCCGTTCGGCTGTCCCGCTTCAGGTTAAAGTTTTTGGTTGAGGTAGTTTTTGATGAAGTTGAAGTCCAATCAACTTGAAACTTAGTACACATGTTCCCTATGATATGATCCTTCTAATTTTAATGCCAAATTAGAGATTTTGTCCCATTTTCACGGTCCACTGAACATAGAAAATGATAGTGCGGATGGGGCATCCATGTACTTGGGACACATTCTTGTTGTTTTTATATTTTGGAAATGTCATCTGGCACAGCGCAAAAAATTTCATCCAACAGGTACATCATCAGTTTTACCCCCTGAAGATATGTGATGTTGTCCAATCAAAATCCTTGTTATAAAAAAAAACGCATTACAATACATAATGAATAACACAGTTCAGCCTCTTTAGGAATATTCAAGCAAGCTATTTAACTAAATGGACAGGTAAATAAAATTGTACAGTATAGATCAATTTGAAACATTCCCATAAATCAACATTCATATAATGTATGACATTTCAACTATTTTCTTTGATATCATTTCAGATATAAACATCTCCCAAAAGGTGAACCATTGACAAATGAGAACCTGCGTAAGCAGTTAGAGACAGTGACAGAAAATTACAAGAAAAGATCAAGCCAACTTGTAGATTTAGGCTCAACACAGAGCAATGAAAACTTCAACAATATAGTTGCAAGCAAGGCTCCAAAAAATAGGTCAGTAACTAAAAACATTGATTATAACCTTTCAGTAACATCCCAAAATGATTCCAACATCAAACACAAAGAAAATGAATATAAACATAGCAATACAAAATAGAATTCTTTCAATTTCAAAGGGAGATGATTGCTGTTTATCTGTCATTAGAAAATTGACTATTTCAGAATTTTTTTCTCTGAAAACTGACTTGGCAGAATTCTTTTTTAAACTATGATCATTAGCATATTCTTAAAAAACAATCCTTCATTTTGATATCACTGTATAAACAAAAAATAACCAACAGTGCAAACAGTTTAACATGAATTTAAGTTTCACTTTATAAAATTAAATTTTTGATATGAGGGGGGCAGGCCTAGGAGACGACAGGTGGCAAAGGTTTTGTGATTCAACTCCAAAACTTTTATAGATATAATTTCAAAATTTTAAAAACTAATATGAGATCTTATGAAACAAAAGTGAACAATTCAAAAATGTTTGAACAGTTATTCCCCCTGAAACAGTTTTATAATAATTTTAGCTAGTTTAATCTTCTGACAGCTGCTTTACAATATTAACTGTGAAATTTCTTTTTGTAGATCATATGGTGGAACCAGCTCATTAAAAGCAAGAGTTTCAGCTGCAGTTCTTCAGAAGAATGAAGGTTATACCTGGGTTAACAAGGTATTGTGTTACAGCTTATATATTATAAATACTGTGTATTTCCTGTTTTATTTTACCCCATGTAACATAAACATAGTATAATGTTTGTGACCTGTCATTTTAGGTTTCTAAACAATAATTTGAAAACTGACACAGTGATTTTTAACCTGATTTTGGAAGGAAATATTGGTTATTAAAATGGTGATGTACGGCGGGCGGCTGGGCGGTCCTACGGGCGGCTGCCAAACAGTGTCAGCACAATAACATGAAAACGCTTTAACAAATTTTTTTCAAATTTAAATATGTTGTTTCCTGGGACTTAATGAAGGTCTAGTTCAGTTTTCAAGATATAAGTATATCTCCTTTGTGTTTTAGCCATTTTTAAAATCCAAAAGTGGAATTTTCAAATATTTTACTCTTGTTATCTTTTTTATGACTAAGCATAATGTCTTATCTCACAATAAAAATTGGAGTGACAGATTTATTCGAAAATTATCTATTTCCTAAGTGGTAATGATGATAAGCTATATTATTAGACATTTTGAGGTTAATTACATTATTAATTATTAATTAGATCTGGGTTATATCTTAACATATAATATCATTGGAGTGACAGATTTATTTGAAAATTTTCTGTTTCCTGATAAGATCTGTAGGACTGTATATATAAAGTTTAAAATTTACTAGTAGGACTGTATAAATGAAATTTGAAATTTACTGTTCATTATTAGACATTTTGTAGATAATTAAGTATCCCTGAACCATATATATTCTTACCCCCACCCCCCTTCAATTTGAGAATGTGCTTTTATCTTGTAAACGGTTGATATCCCCACCCCTAAACCATATATATTCTTGTATGGGACAATAAAACAAATCAAATGAAATAAAAGGCGAGTCCCCTGGGGTCACCCCACCCCATCCTGTTTAAGAACTTGTAAACCGTCGAGATCCCCACCCCTAAACCATATATATTCTTGAATGGGAAAATAAAACAAATCAAATGATATATAGAGGAAGTCCATGGGGGGTCACCCCCACCCCCCTTCTTTTTGATAACTTGTAAATAGTCGAGATCCCCACCCCTAAACCATATATATTCTTGAATGGGACAATAAAACAAATCAAATGAAATTGAGATGAAATCCCCTGGGGTAACCCTCACCCCCTTTCTTTTTGAAAACTTGTAAACGGTCAAGATCCCCATGCGGAAACCCCCACCCCCTTCTTTTTGAAAACTTGTAAACGGTCAAGATCCCCACCCCGAAACCATATATATTCTTGAATGGGACAATAAAACAAATCAATTGAAATATAATAATAATAATAATAATAATAAATTCTTTATTTAAAGAGGGTAAACTCAGTTAGTTACAATAAACTAATCTTCCCTGAGGCCCTCACATACAAATTACAATACAATCAAAAACAGATATTTACACAAAGTTAATTTACAGTCAATTAGTTCAATGTAATATTACTAACATGATAAGATATAAGGCTGTTCAAGATGTACATGTAGTCAAAAAATCAAATACAAATAAAAATAAAAGAATATACAAATACATTGTAGAAAATATAATCTTATCAGGACTGTGTTAAGTACTTCTTGATACTTTGTTTAAAAGTATAAGTGTTTTGAGCTTTACGCATTTTGTGTGGTAGTCCATTCCATAACACTGATCCAGAATAAACAAAAGATTTCTTAAATAGCTCAGCTTTTGGCTTAGGAACTATCAGATTACCTTGAGTGACGCCTCTCAGGGAGTAAGGATTATTATCTGATTTCAGTTTAAACTTTTGAACTAGGTACATTGGTGCTTCCATACGCATACATTTATATAGAAGTAAATATTTGTGGTATTTTATTCTATTGTCAACTGTCATCCACCCAAGTTTTTTAAATAAGGGGGCTGAGGGGGATAAAGGATCTGCATCTAGAATTAATCTTGCTGCCCTTTTTTGGAGTTTTAAAATTCTTGCTATCCCTTCATTTTTACATTCACCCCAAATAATACAGCAGTAGTCAATCAGGGGCAGAATATATCCATTGTAATATGTTTTTCTTGCATTTATATCTAAAAATTTCTTTATTTTAGAAAGAAGGTATATTCTGGATGATATATTAGCACAAACTTGGTCAATTTGATTTCTCCAGTTAAGTGTGCTGTCAATTTTAACACCTAATAATTTTTCACATGAAGAATTTTGTAATACTTTTGAATCTATTATTAGGTTTGGTTGATAAGTCTGAATTGATAATTTCTGCTTTGTTCCAGTAACCAAACATTTTGTTTTATTTGCATTAATGAACATGTTATTCATTTTGCACCACTCTTCAACCCTGTATAAATCTTCTTGAACATCATCATGTATATTTTCTATGTTTTTCCCTGATTTATGAAGAGTGGTGTCATCAGCATATAGGTCTGTTTCACAATTTTCAATGCATAAGGGAAGGTCGTTTATAAATAGCACAAACAATAGAGGACCAAGTATAGAACCTTGGGGGACACCAAATTTTACATGTTGTTGTTCAGAGTAAACATTACAAATGTTTACCTGCTGTTTTCTGTTATTCAGGTATGACTTGAAAAAACTAACAGTAGCCTCACTAAATCCATAAATTTCAAGCTTTAAGCAAAGAATGTCATGATCTACCAAATCAAAAGCTTTTTTAAAATCTAATAAAATTGCTAGGTTTAAATTACCATCATTCATTTCTTGCAACCATTTGTCAATGATATTAATAAGTGCAGTTTGACAAGAATGCTGCGGCCTGAAACCAGATTGTGTAGGGTGTAAAAGGTTAAGTTTAGATAAGTATTTGTACATGTTATTAGAAACATGCCTTTCTATTAATTTTGATAAAGTTGGAAGAACAGATATAGGTCTGTAATTTGTTGCTAAAAGCTTGTCACCATCCTTGAAAACTGGTGTTACCTTAGCATTCTTCAGTAAAGAAGGATATATACCAGTATCTATCATTCGGTTAAATATGTATGTGAGAGGTGATGCAATAACAGGGGCGCTTAATCTTAGGATTTTTGGTCCTATATTATCCATACCAGATGCTTTGTTTATATCAAGTTTTGTTAACTCATTAAATAGCTCATTCATGATCACTGGTGGTATAGAAAATTTATCATGTTTATGTAATTTATTTTTAACAAATTTGCCAAGATTACTGAAATCTGCTTTGTTTACAGGTGTATAACTTCCTTGTTCTCTTAATTTTTCAGCACAGGAAGTGAAAAAGTTATTAAAAGTTTCTGCTATTGATTTTTTACTTTTAGTTGTATTGTTATCTTCTGTGGCTAACTCATATGGTGTATTTTTAACTTTTGGGTTCAGACTGTGAAGACATTTCCATAAAGTTTTAGGGTCATTGGAGTCTTTTACCATATTTTTATAATAATTCTTTTTTGAGCTATCTATGACATGTTTAGTTTTATTTCTCCAAAATCTATACTCACTCCATAAACCAAGTGCATTATATTTATCTCTCATATTCCTAGCATAAATGATTTCACTGTTATACCAATCAGGCTGTCTGTCCCTTTTAACTCTCTTTTTAACAACAGGAGCATGTTTATCTAAAGCTTTGTTCAACATATCATAAAACAATTGTAGACAGTCAGAGGGGTTTTCTTCAAATTCAATTTTATGAAAAGGTGTAGTTTGCAGATCTAATAAAAATTCATTTTGGTTGAAATTTTTGAAATTTCTATAAGTAATTGTACTGTGTGTGTCCCCTGGGGTCACCCCCATCCACTCCTGTTTAAGAACTTGTAAATGGTCAAGATCCCTACCCCTAAACCATATATATTCTAGAATTGGACAATAAAACAAATCAAATGATATATAGGGGAAGTCCATGGGGGTCACCCCCACCCCCCTTCTTTTTGATAACTTGTAAACAGTCGAGATCCCCACCCCTAAACCATATATATTCTTGAATGGGACAATAAAACAAATCTAATGAAATAAAAGGTGAGTCCCCTGGGGTCACCCCACCCCATCCTGTTTAAGAACTTGTAAACCGTCGAGATCCCCACCCCTAAACCATATATATTCTTGAATGGGACAATAAAACAAATCAAATGAAATATAAGGCGAGTCCCCTGGGGTCACCCCACCCCCTCCTGTTTAAGAACTTGTAAATGGTCAAGATCCCTACCCCTAAACCATATATGAACTTGTAAACGGTCGGGATCTCCACCCCTAAACCATAAAAAATAAAGAAGATTTGAATGACATACAGGGTCAATCCATAGGCGTCACTAATGCATATCATAAACCAATTTGTACTGGACATTGCCCAATGTCAAGGGACAATGGGAATGACGAATTATTGGAGCTTTGTTTGGGAGACTTAGTAACAGCATTCTGTTACAATTATTTCTTGTTACTGATAAGTTTTATAGATTTTGAAATGAAATTGTATTAATGATAAATAAAATTTTGGATTTTTTTCTTCTTTTCTTTGGTAAATTGTTTGTAGAATTTTGTGGCAAGTTTGTTTGTTATTCTGGAAAAACTAATTTTCTGAATGCTATATATATTTTTTTTTTGATGGAGTAAACTCCTTTAAAAACTAAGCTTATATTGTCTATTAATAAACATATATTTAGATTTCTGATTTTGGGCCTAGTTTTCAAGTTGGTCCAAATTGGGGTCCAAAATTAAACTGTGTTTGATTTCAACATAAATTGAATATATATAGGGTTCTTTGAAATGCTTAATCTAAACCTGTATTTCTTTTCATTATTAATAAGATAATACCACATTGAGTTCCAAAGGGTCCTAAATTACACTTTTGATTAATTTCATCAAAAATTGAATTCTTTGGTTCTTTGATATGCTGATTCTAGCAATGTTTGAGTGATAAATGATATCTAATTTTAGAGAACTTAGTCATCACTGGTTGTTGTTATCATATTATTGGTTATAATTTGAAAAATTGCATCATATCTTATTTTAGAGAACTATTTATCCAGTTTGAGTTATTTCCCTTTGCACAGAAAATATTATGGATAAAATTAACCTGTGTTTCATTTCAACATAAATTAAATATATATAGGGTACTTTCAAATGCTGAATCTAAACCTGTATTGAAATATTAGATTTTTGGGCCCAGTTTTCAAGTTGGTCCAAATCAGGGTCCAAAATTAAACTTTGTTTGATTCAACAAAAAAAATATTTATGGGGTTCTTTGAAATGCTGAATCTAACATGTATTGAGAGATTTTGGATTGTGGGCTCCTTTATCAAGTTGGTCCACATTGAGGTCCAAAGGGTCTTAAATTAAACTTTTGTCTGATTTCATCAAAAATTGAATTCTTGGGGTTCTTTGATATGCTGATTCTAATATGTACTTAGATTTTTGCTATTGGACCATAATAGGTATTTAAATGTCCAATTTCAAGTATTTCAGTTCTTAAACCACATTCATTTTGTGTCACAAACCTATGCTGTGTCAAATATTCAATCACAATCCAAATTCAGAGCTGTTTTAAGCTTAAATGTAGTGTCCATACTTGCTCAACTGTTCAGGGTTCGACCTCTGCAGGAAAATCCGGTTTGCTGTCACTCTGACAGCCTCTTGTTGTCAAATTATATACAAAGGTGAATGACCTTACAAAGGTGATCAAGTTCAAATTGGACTTAATTGTGTTTTTTTAATCAACTTTTTCTCAGCAATACTTGTCCACACCATAAATGATGTTAATTTGGTTTTTAATTGTTTGAATATAAAGCAGTGTGTGGTTGACCTTCATGTGACCTTATCCAAAGGTCGAATATAGAATTTAAAGGGAAGGTTTATGATTTTTGTCATCTAAAACATTTCTCACTAGTTTACCTTGTTTTAGGTTAACAAGAAAGCATTGCTGTCACCAGGCACAATTTCTGTTAGAGTTGGACAGAGGTTTGACAGAAAGAGACTCTGGCAAAAGAAGAATAGCTCCTCAGTTCATTTCAAACGTGACAGATTTAAAAGAAAGGTAAAACTTCATGGCATATAATTTGTCAATTTAGTGACAGCCATATAACAGAAAAAACAAAGGATATGGGGTATCCAGTACATGTACAACAAAAAACACACAAAAAGAAAAGGAACAGCTCTTTTATTGAGGTTCTTCATCTCAAAGTCACATTAAAGCCTCAACAGGAAGAAATATATAAGTCTCACCTCACTGCAATTTAGTGATAATTTTTAATAATACAGAAGTATATGATTGAATTCTAAAATTGGAGGCATATTTAGCCTGTTTCTCAGATATGAAGTGCCTTGTTAGGTGTATCCAAAATTCTATTAACCAGTGCAGTACCCTCTGCTGTATAAATACAGGTCTATTGATCTCGCTTCCATGAAATGTTTTGAAGTGAAAATTTCAATGTGGATAGGAACGAGGGCCAAGAATAGGTGGTGTGTGTCTTATTTAGATTTTAGTGTATCAACTGTCTTACAATTGAAAGCATGATGTGGCATATATAAGAGAAGTTATCTCAAGAATAATTACACCACAACTTTAAAAATACAGAATAGTCCAGTCAATCTAGCATAAATTTGACCCTAACCTTAAAGTAATTGCAACTGAAGATTTTTAAGTTTTAATCTTCAGCATTATACCCAAAATATACACAGAAAAAAGTCCCATAAAATCTTACTAAAGGAAGACTAAAAAAATCACGATTTAAAATTCCTATGGAGATTTGCATTGAAAAGGGAGATAACTCTGCAAAAAAGGCAGAAATATCAATGAAAATTGATAAAAAATTATAACTTTACCGCTTCTATTCAACAAAATGTATTGATTCTTGATATTTTAGCCGTCTTTAGAGTATAACAAACAACTCTAAAGGTGTTTTCATATCTTTTATCAAGCTACAATCTAGATTTCATAATTCATTAGTTGACCATTTATTGAATTTTTCAACATGTCAAGGTAAAGAATGTCAAATTTGATAAAAATAATTAAGCATACATTCTTCTTTTTGTTGATAAAATTTTCTTTAAACAAGGTAGATGCTGAACAAATATAATATACAGATATAAACAATACCAAATTTTCACATTTTTTTTTCAAAATGGTCACAAAGCAACAAATTTGCAATTTCTTTAATGAAAAATGCACCAAAAAAAATAAAAATACCCATAACACTTCGGTTTTGTACATTTCATGAGCAGAAGATTATATAATATAGTCAAATATAAACTTATAACCCCATCTAAGTATCATCCTTTACATAAATTTTAATAAAAATCAACCAAAAACTGACAAAAGAAGACTCATTTTTGCGGAGTTATCTCCCCTTCCAATGCTAATTTCCATAGGAAATTTTAAAAAATGCTGATTTTGAGTTTTCCTCAAGTTAGATTTTTCTGTGTATATTTAGGGCTTAATGCTATAGATTAGAACTTAAACATTTTCTGTTGCAATTAGTTTGACTGGACTAGAAGACCAACATATTAATAAGCACAGGGACATGGTGAAACTTACATGAATTATGTTAAATTGTTAAATTGGTAAACTATAATATAAATTGCCGAAGACAATATGAATTGCAATTTGGCCAAAAATAGAGAGAAAACAAGATGATGACATTTCAAAAGAAAAATATGGTTATAAAGAGTTATATTCCCTTTATTTTACAATGTACATGTAACAACACAATTAAGGAAGGACTGTAATATTTTTTCTGTCTATGAAGAAATAACATCAAAAATGTGGTGCACACTGAATAACCCGTGTAGCGGGTTATTTTAAAGTGTGCACCACATTTTTTATGTTATTTCGAATAGACAGAAAAAATATTACAGTCATTTCTTATAATTTAGTTCTAAATTCCATTTTAAACCGGAGTAAATCATGAAAAAACGTTGATGACGTCACGGTCACATGACAAAATTATGTCTATGAGCTGATAAACAAAACAACGTCAGCCAATCAGAAGACGCGTTACATCCAAAATCAAATTATTAAGGTATAAACAAAAGATTTTTCTGAATATTTTCTTTTTGTCTTTTTTAGCATAAGAAAACTTTTCAACAAATTAAAGCAGCAGTTATAGAAGGAGAAACATATCAACCACAAATTGAAGAAAATGTGACGGTAAGAGACATTGAAAAGATTCCAACTAAATATTCTTTGGAAGGCATAGACGAATATGTCGTGTTTGATTTAGAAACAACTGGGTTATCAAGAACCTCTGATATAACACAAATATCAGCATATGATGGGACCAACATGCTAAATCTTTATGTGTCTCCACGACAACCTATTTCATCAAAGGCCAGTGATGTTACCGGCATTACTTTCTCTTTTGAGAGAAACCAAATGTATTGCCATGGTGTTCCAGTTGAAAGCGTATGTATAAGAAAAGCCTTACTTCAACTAATTGAAATGATACAGAAAAAATCTCGTCCTGTGCTTGTTGGTCATAACATCCATTCATATGATGTACCTGTACTAAGAAATTTGTTACAAGAGTTTAATCTGCTGAGTTCTTTTGATAACCTTATTTATGGATGCATTGACACTTTGAAAATTGCAAAACGTGAAATACCAAAAGCTGATGTTCAAAATTATAAGCAACAAACATTAGTTCAAAAGTTTCTGGAGATTGTTTATGATGCTCATAATTCTGAGGAGGATGTAAGAAGTTTATACAAACTGTTCCATCTTAAACTGAAACAGACATGTTCTGCAAAGGATTTATTTCCGTTTAATTATTTGTCAATTGTAGAGGGTTTTTCTAGTGTCATTGTTAAAAAAGTTATTTCAAAAGACACTGCAAGGAAACTTTCCTGCACAGGTCTCAGCCTTCATCACTTGGAGCTTGCTTACAAAAGAAACAATGAAGATGGCGTAAAATCCATCATGCAGGAACATGGTTTGAAAGGGAAAACGGCAAATGTGTTCAAGAAGTTTTTTTCTGAAAAAGAGGAATAGACTGTATATGTGGTTAAAGACTGAAAATTTGATATTTATATGCCATAATTCAGTAGAAAAATTGGTTCTGCCTATCTAAAAATCTAACCCTTTGAAACAACCCTTGCTAAAAGTTGATTATGAATAAATTGAAGTTTTTACTAAAATTTGAGTAACCAAAGAGTACTTACACTTCAAATATATAAGAATTAGGGATCTGTTATAAAATTGCAGCATCCTTTAGTAATTACTCTGTATGTACATCTGTCACAGTTTCCTATTTTGTACAATAACCCAAGTTTGCCTCGACAGATACGCAACAATAAGTATCACATGACATATAAATATTTTCCAATTAGTCAATATTGGTGGATAACTTTCTGAAGCCTGAAGGATTATTTCTCTTACAGATTTTTATTTTGATTGACAAATTTTTCAACAGATTTTTATGAACTTTTATACAAAAGTAGGTGCTTATTTCACAATACAAGTCAACTGAATATTAATAAAGGGGAGATAACTTCACTTCATTTACATGAACCAACTTAAGAAGCATTAGGCTAGGCCATAAATCAGAAATGAGGGGACTCATAAGGTTGAATAAAAGTAACAATATAGTAATGTATCAGTTCCAAAGTTTTACCATCTTGCCCATCCCTACCCCACCCCTTTTTCCACATTTTTCTAAGATTTGTTGTAGCAATCTGATCTAAGGGCAAGACTATTGCTTTATATAAAGTTTTTTTAATGGAATATTTTTCAGAGATTGCAGTTTTCATGAAATTGGACAAACGTTTCAGTGAGTCCCTTGGAAACTGAATCTGCCCCATATTTATTTTTTATTTTTGAGAATATATACTTTTGCAAGTTTAATCCACATTCTCATCCTGGATATGTATTGTAAATTGATGTTATATTATCATGCTTCTTATATGATTTGCATATTAGGGAATACTTTGATATAATTGGTCAAGAGGACCTCGGGTAGTTGTTCTTGAAATTGTTTATTTTTCAATAGACGATGTTGACCGAACTTCTTTTTGTAATCAATGAGGCGATAGTAACACAATCCGACTCAATGTTAAAACTATTTATTTTCACTTTGCATTAATCTTTAAATTGAATACAAACACAAAAAATTCATTTGAATGAAAATAAGACTTTTTGTAGTTTATTTTTTTATCAGATAACAAATTACACGGAGTACATATTTTTGCGTTAACCAACAAATAAATTCATACGCCTGGCCAATTCAATGACACACATATACTACATGTATTGACGTATGATGATGATTACGAGTGTGGAAAAATAATTTTTTTGGTAAAAAATTAAAGAATAATATGATTAAACACTTTTTTAAAGGAATTTATTGGTGTATAAACTGGACCAAGTCACTCGCAAATATATTTTCAGAGATTGTAGTTTTCATGAAATTGGACAAATTAAACGTTTCAGTGAGTCCCTTGGAAACTGAATCTGCCCCATATTTATTTTTTTGTTTTTGAGAATATACACTTTTGCAAGTGTCATCCACATTCTCATTCTGGATATTTTTTGTAAATTGATGTTATATTATCATAATGTTTTGATAATTACAGTGGTTTGTTTTATATCATTGAGACATGGTCCATCTAGATAAAAATCAATTGGTGTCTGTAAAATGTCTGCTCTTGAGTTTTGTTTACATTTATGAATGTGGATGGTAATTACATAAAAAAAAATGATGTAAAAATAAAATTTATTTTACATATATATATATATTCTTTTTTGCTGCATCATTATAATCATGAACAGTGATTAATGAGTATGTTGATTTTTACACTTCCAAGACTTTCACAACAATCATTCAGATCAAACATCACACTATTCAGTCTATGTAGATATAGGAAGATGTGGTATGAGTGCCAATGAGACAACTCTCCATCCAAGTTACAATTTATAAAAGTAAACCATTATAGGTCAAGGTACGGCCTTCAACACGGAGCATTGGCTCACACCGAACAGCAAGCTATAAAGGGCCCCAAAAATTACTAGTGTAAAACCATTCAAACGGGAAAACCAACGGTCTAATCTATATAAAAACGAGAAATGAGAAACATGTATGAACTACATAAACAGACGACAACTACTGTACATCAGATTCCTGACTTAGGACAGGTGTAAACATTTGCAGCGGGACTGTTTTTAGGAACGTCTGTATTGAAAAATGTACAGGAAAAATGTCGTTTTATTTTAAGGTTAATTGAAAGGATAAAATAATATTGCAAAGACATGGATGCTGCAAAACCAATGCTCATTTAAGAAATAATCCCACCTTTAGTTAAGAGAGTTAAAAAAATAAGTGAAAAATTTTGATATTTTTCATGAAATATGCATAAAAGGGAGTGTGACAGGGTGTCATTCTACCCCCGTACCTTTTTATTTTCCCTGGAAACATATCTTTATTTTTTTATGACTTGTAGCATGGATATAAAGTATTTTATATACCAATTTAAAAAAAAAATTCATTGACACAATTTTTTTTTTTTTTACTTTTAAAATATTTTTTTAGCAAAATTTTACACAAGACGGCAACAGGCATATTACAAAAAAGGGTAGCCATTTTGAAAAAAATATTTTTTTTTTTTTAAATATTATGTCTAAAATATTTCAAAATATTCATTTATCATATTGTTCTGAGAAAAAGTAAAAAAAAATATATATATCTTTTTTTGCAGGTACCTTTATAGCTTAAAAATGGCCAAAAAATGACATTTTTAGGACTGCAAAGGGAGGTAACTTTTTCAAAGAATATTTCTAAAAATAGCCTGGAAACCTATTCTCAAATTTTGATATTTTGTTAGGTACACCCCAATGAACAATATATGGGAAATTTAAGAAAGTTCATTGGCTAGATTTTTTTGGCCTACAGTGTCCTTAGCAATTTATATTCGGATATTCATACGCCAATCTTTTTACAACTAGATTGCAATGTAAAATCGGACATGCTAAAAGTAAATACATGTATTAGAAATAATGACAAATACATAGGTAAATGGAAACATGAAAAGAGTACTGATTTTACAAGTAACATAAACAGAGATGAGGTTAATGAATTATTGTCACATATCTTAGAAATACATGATGATATCAGTAAAGTGGATCAAAGTAGTGTAAATGAAATTGTTACCAATGTTACTAAGATTTTGCTTGATTCAGCAGAAAAAACTTTTGGTGTATTTACGAAAGATTGTAGTAATTCAAAAGAAGATTATAACAATAAAGAATGGTTTAATCCCGATTGTAAAAATAGTAGAAAAGATTATAGAAAGTCATTAAGATTGTATAAACATTATGGGTCTAATATTTTCAAAGTTAGACTACGAAATAGTGAAAAAATATATAAAAAAACTATGGATGATAGCATTCGTCTCTTTAATCATGATTTGAAGAAGAAAATGAAAGCATTACGTAAGAAAAGTCCACGTGATTTTTGGAAAATTTTCAATAAGTTTAAACGTACAGTAAATAATGACATTGATATCAAACAGTTTTATGATTTTTTTAAAGAATTGAATAAAGATAATCTTAATAAAGCGAATATTGAACTAGATAACAATTTTGATACTGATAGATCAAATTATTTCTTGAATAAAACAATAACAAGAGACGAGGTTATCAAAGGTATACAAAGTGTTAAAAATAATAAGTCACCTGGTGACGACTTAATAATAAATGAATATATTTTATCATCTTCTGAATTGATGTTAGATATATATGTATATATGTTCAATTTAATTTTCGATACAGGTTTCTTACCTGAAATATGGCTTTTAGGAAATGTTATTCCAGTGTTTAAAAACAAAGGCAGTAAAAGGGAACCGAAAAACTATCGGCCAATAACGTTACTATCCAGTTTAGGTAAAATATTTACTTCCATTTTAAACAATAGACTTTGTGATTATTTAGATGAGTTTTTAATTTTACAAGAAAATCAAGCAGGTTTTAGACCAGGATACAGCACAAATGATCATATTTTTGCTCTTTATGCCTTTTTTGAACTCTTGAAATTAAAGAAGAAAAAGTTTTATTGTGCGTTTATTGATTTTCAGAGAGCTTTTGATTCTATTCAAAGAAATCCCCTTTTATTTAAACTTTTGAACAATAATATTAACGGAAAGTTTTTCCGAATTATACAAAATATGTATAAAGATATAAAATCCCGTATTGTCTTCAATAATGAGAAATCTGACTTCTTCCCTTGTGAAATTGGTGTACGACAAGGTGAAAATTTATCTCCTGCTTTGTTTTCTGTATATCTGAATGATTTACAAGCATTTTTAGAAGAGTTAGATACAAAAGGTTTACAGTCAATAAGTGCAGACCTAGAAAATGAACTAGATGTGTATCTGAAGATTTTCTTATTGTTATATGCTGATGACACTGTTTTATTAGCAGATAGTAACACTGAATTACAAAATATGTTAAACAAATTTGCCATATATTGTAACAAATGGCAACTTGAGGTAAATGTTGATAAAACAAAAGTTCTTGTTTTTGCTAATGGTAGAATTCCACAAAATTTGAATTTCTCTATTAATGATACTGAAATTGAGATTGTTAAAAATTATAAATATTTAGGAATATTTTTTTCAAAAAGTGGTTCATTTTTACAAACTAGAAAATATTTAAGAGACCAAGGAATAAAGGCTATGTATTCTATATTGAAGAAGAGTAGAATTAATAATTTATCTATTGAATGTCAACTAGATCTCTTTGATAAGGCTGTTGTACCTATTTTGTTATATGGGTCAGAGATTTGGGGTTTTGAAAACTTTGACTTATTAGAGCGGGTGCACCTAAAATTTTGCAAACTCATTTTACATTTAAAGCAATCAACCCCAGACTGTATAGTTTATGCTGAACTAGGCAGATTCCCAATACTTCTTTATGCAAAAGTTCGTATGATAAATTTTTGGGGCAGAATTATAAACGGTAAAGAGTGTAAAATTTCTCATGTTCTTTATAAATTATTACATATAAATTTAAATAACTATGGTTTCGAAAGTAAATGGT